ATCTATACTAAGAATCAATTGAATGTTACAATGAAGCAATATCTATTAACGCTAAAAATCTTAATGCATGGAATGGCAAGGGTAATCTATCATTTATTATTACTACATAGGTAATGCATTATTCAATTTGACTCAATATGAAGAAGCGATTGAATGTTACAATGAAGCAATATCTATTAACCCTAAATATGTTTATGCATGGTGCAATAAAGGTAATTAATAATTAAATATTAATATTTAGGTGCTGCATTAATAGAATTGAATCGATATCAAGAAGCTATTGAATGTTACAATGAAGCATTATCTATTAACCCTAAATATATTGATGCATGGTATAACAAGGGTAATCTTTTAATAAATATTAATATTTAGGTCACGCCTTATTCAATTTGAATCAATATGAAGAAGCTATTGAATGTTACAATCACACTATATCTATTTACCCTAAAGATGTTGATGCATGGAATAGCAAGGGTAATTTGGTGTTAAATATTATCATTTAGGTCTCGCATTACAAATATTATAGAAACACTTGGATGCACTCTCAAATTTTGAACAAGCACTTAAAATAAATCCTACTGCTCATAGATAAGAATATAAAGGTAAATACAACTTTAAATTCTATTAGCTGATTCATTATTTGAATTACGTAGAAGTTCAGAAGCTAAATACTTTTACTTTGCTGCATAGGAAATTGGTTTGGGTTAGAATGCTTATATAAAAAGCTAACTATCAAAGTTATGAAACATTATCATATTAGTATTTTAAAGGATTTAATAATATTTTGTCAGTTTATATTTATAAAAAAAGTGATTTACTTAAATTAATCACTTCTAGTGTTATTACACTATAGCTTGATCTTGTTATTGCGCAATTAAGAATTCTTGCAGCTGTTTAGAAAGACAAATTTTATAATATTTGATTAACATTTAGGTTTTGAACACAGTTTTAAAAAATATTTGGTATCTTATAGAGACAAATATTAAAAATGCAAACAAAGAGAATCTCAATTTAGTTGAAGAATTTTTTTATTTGAGAGTAATTCCATAAAGACATAGAATTTTAGTGAGTTTTGAATGGCTTTATAGAGAGGAAGATGTTGAATAAGTATTATGTGAGGAAAAGTAGAGAATTTGATGAGCTAAGAAATTCTAAACCAAAAAAGAGGTTAAATCTTACTCAATTCTGATTCCTTAATTCGGATCATATACTACAACAGAAGCAAACAATATTGCTCTAAAATGATCTGCAATAACGCTCTGCTATTAAAAAATCTTAATTTTATTCTAAAAAAGTTGATAGCAAATCAAATGTTTCATTTAAGCATTGATTTACCAGAAAAATTAAAGGAGAAAAGAATATAATTGAAAAAGGAAGGTTTATAATTTTGAATATTTGAACTTCTTGGGCGTGGGTAGAACAAATAAATATAAAAATACTCAAATTATAGATAGTAAAGTTCATATTTATATTGGAATTGGATTAAAAATTGGAGCTTTAACTATAAAAGAAGCAAAAAAGGAGAAAGATTATTCTGTATTCCAAGTACCTTAACTAAAAATCTTTAGTGTTGTTGAATGAAAACAAAAGAATTTTTTATAATAAGAAATACTTCATTATTTATGATTGAACCTATAAATCATAACAGATTGCATGACACTGTTAAACAATAAAAAATAGAATTATTTAATAGAGGAACAATTCTTTTTATAATGAGGGTAAAATCCTAAGATTAATCAAAATTTACTCCTTTTATTTTAAAATGCAATTAATTAATTCACTGCAATAACATAACTCTGGTTTGAAATAGTTAATATTTGGTCTCATTCTCAAAACATATCATGAGACAAACACTTTTTCGTAATTAAATTATTATTGCTTATGGATGAAAAAAACTAAATTCTAATTTTATTTTAAGAATTTTTTAGACAATAAAAATTGCAATTATCTAAAATGTTTGGTTTAGAATTCTAAAGGGAAGATTATTACTTCAGAATAAATATTAATATATATTTTAATGAATCTTTGAATATCACTCTCTTTGGGAAGGGTTTTTCCTAATATTTTATATTTTGTGAATATCAAGAATTTGAATCATGGTGAAATTTTATAACCTAAACGTAATATTTAATTAAATGATTGAACAAGAAAGATTTATGATGCACTCTAAACTTGAATTTAAAGCAAACAGAAATAAACATTTTTAGGTAAGATAACATATAAAAGAGTTCATCATTTTCAAAAGGTTAATTGTTTATTATTAAACCATTTCACATAAATGAATATTTTTTTAATTTTCCTTACTTCATGTTCAATTGTTTTTCCCAACATCAAACTAATAGTATTATTATAATGTATCTGAAACCAAAATTTCATTCAATTTATTAATTTATTCTGTCAGATTTTGGAAATTTTCAAATTCACAAATCCGGGGGAGGTACCTACATAGTTTTTTGACTCACCA